CAAATTAAAAAATCAAAAACGGGAAGTTTTCTGCTGTTTTCTAGTTTAAATGACAAAAAAATACTTTTTCTCGACGATGTATTTTTCGGCTTCCTTTTTGATAACATACTGATGCGGTGATGGATCGCTTAGTTTACTTGTGATTGCACGTGCTTTCCCATACTCGCCACGCTCCAAATAAATTCGCCAAATGTCTCTGTAAAACAAAAACAATACCACAGGAAAAGTATACAATGAAAGTGCGCAAGAAATTTTGGAGATAAAGTTGAATTTTTTAAAAAAAGATTCAAAGAATCCAAGATTTCAGAAATTGAAAAATAGCTCGAAACTGGACAAAAAAAAAAACTCTAAATGAGCTGAGACACAGTCCTTAGTCGATCACTGTGGTGTAAAAGTGACAGTACATGACACCAACAAAATCCAAGTTAGTTTATAGATAAAACTGCACCCAGTGAGCCAAAATTGGGAATATCTAATACTCTGTGTAAAATGAGAAGTTGATTTATTCTAAAATAATTACGCACAAATCTTCGTCAGTAAGACATCTGAAAGTCGTAGAAAAGTGAAAATGTCGCGAAGTGGTGCTCAACATACAACAGGAATATTATGGGAAAAAACGAGATTTAAGAATTAACATTTGGCATACCTCGATTCCTCATTTGGCCGATATTTCCATACTGCAACATCGGTGTAAACCCAAACCATTTCGGATACCGGATCACGGCACATCCCTTTTACTTGGCCAGAATCCTAAAAAAAACAGTCAAAAAAAAAAAAAAACTGAAACAGCACATGCCTTTACGAAAGGTAATCAATATCCACTGAAAAATGTTCAAACATGTGCCACTTTTTCACAGAACTGACTACAATTCAATCTGTTTTTCCACTTAAAATACACTTTGTTGCAAAATAGCTAACCGTTCCAATGATATCCTCAAACATTCGTTTCTGATTGAGCAACGAAACTGCTTCAATATGATCACTGTACAAAAACAAAACATTGTATTCCGTTAATGCAGTGTCCAACGGGTAGCTGTGACGACCGTCCACTAATTTATGTCTGAAATGAACTAAAAAATTGAAATTAATTAAGAATATTTCATCCAAAAACTAGATCGGACTGGATTACATCGGAATAATTTGAGTCAAAGTGATCCAGAACTAATTAAAAAGATTGAGTAGATGACGGCAATTGCGATTTTGTAAGTCCACAAAAAAAAATTTTGTAAGTCCATGAAAGCGTAGAAAATGTAGTCCATGTCTTGGAAAACCTTCAAGGGGCTGGCAAAAACGAAGCCAACACAAAGCAAAACGATGTATACTGCCTATCAGAGGCAGCCAAGATGTGATCTGCCTCGAAAGTCGGATACACAGTAGATGTGCTGCCAGGCTGATCCAGGAATAATTAGACTAGTGGTGTAGCGGGTAACACGTTGCCTGCTGGTGTGAAAGGAAGTGGTTCGATTCCCTCCTGGTCCACACCCATTTTTGAAAACACGTCCTTTCACCACACTCTGCGTGGAAGAGTTAGAGAAGAAAAAACGGATGAAGGGCAGGAGCAAACGCACTGTCAGCGTGCGGGATAATCGACAATATGCATGTATGAGCACTGCGAAAAAAGACACACATTTTACATTTTAAAACGCAACCTTAAAAAAAAAAGGTGCTCAGTTTTAGTTCCACTCAATTTTAGTTACTGATTTTCATGTGATGCCAATTCCATTTTCTTATTCTAACTGAAAAATGAAAACTTTTCCGTTTCAGATTTTTAGAAAAGGACGCACTTGATTTTTTTGACCTCTATAATACAAAACAATATGAAAAAATAGCATTATTGAATGTTCAGCGGACATTATGAGGGTACCATTTCTGCTGGTGAAATGAAAAGGAAAAAAGAAAAAATTTTGAACGAATATTATAGAATTATGCTGATGCGACAATCGCAAAATAGAAAATGAAGAAACTAATAGGCGCAATGAAGGAACAAGTGTGAAACGGTTATTGTTCAAAACGAACAGTTTCTAAACACCAGAACAGCAAGAAAAAAATTCATAATTACTCACAGTCTTTATATTTTACTTATTTCACTTTCTCTTATTAATTTTATTTCCCTTTTCCAAGCTCACTTTTCCTGATTATTTCAGTTAATCGTAATACGCTGCTAGCATTTACTGTTAATGTATGATTGGGTTGTGACGGTGCACTGATGAGGCTTCGTCAAAACTTTATCATTTTCTGATTTTACATCATTATTTCCACTTCTTTATCATTATTCTCTACTAGTAAATTGGTGGGATAAGTTAAAAACAGGCTAAAGTTGGGCTACTGAAGAAACTAATTACTTTAAAGTTCGTTTCAGCGACGTCTTTTGATGCCACATGCCAGAGAATTAAAACCGCCCCCAGTCTATTTCTAAGTAATTCTTGGGATTATCATCAATGTCTTCTCAGTTTTTGCGGATGTATGGCTAGTAAAATATGAACATACGGAATATGCACATCCTCGATGATTATATCGTACGCATCGGTTGCCGCCGAGTCTATTCGTCCTAATGTATAGCCGCTGGCACCAACCCAACAAAATGAGTTCGGCGGTTCACTGCTTGATTTTGGATAAATCACAAAGGCACTCGGCAAATTTCGCTGTTCCTCATCCATGCAGTGGTAACGAAACGGCTCTAAAATTGCATTTCACTGCAGAAATTTTAGTAAGTAAGGAAAAATGTCAAGGAGAAATGGAGGGAAAAGTGGCAGAAAACAAAAGAAGTAAATATATATGCTGCGTTTTGAAAAACCTCAAAAAACATGCATAGAAAAGAAAAATTCGCAAAAAAAAGAAAAATAAAAGTGTGAAGAAAGGTGGATGTTTCCGTCTCAACTTCAGGTCACTTATCTTTCTTATGCTTTGATCAACTGTTGTTTCACTATCGCATTTCTTCTTGCCATTAATGCAGCCGGTAACTCCTTAGGAGGGGAAGGAACGGGAAAGAAAAAGAGGGGAATGAGGAAAGGAAAGGACGGGGATAAAACAGAAGGGATTTACAAATTTGAGAGTATCAGCGAAGAACACCAGGCTGTTTTGAATCTATAGCAACACAACTTCAGAAAAAATTCAAAATAATTCCAGTAATTTTTACCCATCAAAAAGCATGAGATGAAAATATTAGAAAAAAAAATTTACCTTTTGAGGCAAACAGTGGCTGTAGGAATGCCGGCATTTGTTCAGCAAATGCTGAACTCCAAATTGTCCCAACGACTGGTTGTACAGCAAATACATCCTGTTTTACGTTAATTTGTCCGCGTAAACAATACAGCCTTCCAGGAACACAAACAAACAAAACCCAGCTGGAAGAGGAAATCGAACAGTTAATAAAAATACATTTCCAATAAATAGTCGTCTTCAAATCCGAAGCCAACTTCCCCTTTTTTAAATAAATTTTTCAATTCTGAAGTAGCTTTTTCCCAGTTTTGCAGTTTCCAAGTTTGTTTTTACAGCCAAGGCTAAGGGATGAAACACAGGCTACTCTCCAAAATGTTCAAATGGCAAATATATTTAGAAAAAGTCCTGACAAGAGAGCAAAAATTTAAAAAAAATTATCTGCTACATGTTAATTTTATTTTTCCTTCTACTACTATGCAACATCAACCTCCTACAGTCTCCTAAAACACTCACTATCATTTCCTTCTCTTCCTTCTTCATCTTCCTCCGGTAAACAACATGTTCATTTTAATATGGCGAAATGGGGCACTGTATTGATGATTCCTAACACATTCCGCACCGATTCAGCCGTCTGTGTTTACAGCTTAGGGATGAAACACAGACAGGCTGTTAGGTCACTGTACATGCAGGCTTGCTTATTTGGGAGATCTAAATGGTACTTCCAGTGTTTTCATTAATTATCAAAATTCGACTGTGTTCCATTCCAGGGTGGGCCAAAAGCACCAAACAAATTGCATATGTTAACACATGGAAGATTTCAGGCCCCCGTCCTTTCCCAAGCTCCTAGCTAGGGATATCCAATGTTTGTGTCTTTAAAATTTCTGAAACTCCTAGTGGATTTCTCATCACAATTAGATGTATTATTAATCTATACGTTGGCTTTTCGCTTTCTTCTTCGCATTGATAAATTTCAATTCCAGTAATCGACAAATCTTTTATGCCGCTTATACTGCTCGTCAATTCACGTACATATGAAGGCGTTCCATTTGACTGAATAGATGTTTCAAATAAAGCACCTGTAAATTGTAAGGAAAAAGTTATTTGGGGAAGAAACATAGAAAGACTGCATCGTAAAATGTCTTCTTACACATGACACTTAGTCCAATCCTCTATTCTACTATTAAAGGAAAAAAAAAGCAAATTCTCGAAAAAAAAAAGTAATTTTCAGCAAAACAGATACAAAACAGATGCTGCAAATCAGCGAAAAAAAAAAAAAAAAAGAACAGTCGTAAATGAACTGATGGAAAAGAATTTTCAACAAATTACAACTACATTGAGAGAAAATGTTTCGAATCCGTGCTAATGATATTACTAGGATGCTGCCACAAAACAAGCTTTGCTAGGCTTTCAACCGTGTAGGTACTTCATTCTAGGTGATATCCATCAGTGAATATCAATACCCACTAACTGCTGGGAGGGAAGGGGGGGGGCAACTAAAAAAAAATATGACTTGGTCTTTCACATAACTCAACTATGGTGTCTTCTGTTAAAATCCACTCCTTCAAATAATTAAGACAATCGCCAACACTATTTTAGAAAAAAATTTTTTTAGAAAACAAGGATTGGCAATTATTTAACAATGATTATTTTAAACAATATGCCGTGTAATAGATCAAATAATGATTAATGCTTTTTGTTAAAAGCAGGTTAAAGAACAACTGCGTTACTATGACGCAATACCCTGTCCCTGCTTCAAACTTTGGCCACCCTATCCTGACTGAACTTTCGATCTTTGTCCCCTAGGGTATAAAAGCACTTCTCCCCATCGCCGGGATCGCCACTACCCATCCACCACTGCGACCTATTTTTATCTAACTTATATTCTCATTCTGGGGAGCTTCGGTCCCTTTAAGCCTCATCACTTTTGTGTGAAATCATCTCTTTAAGTTACTATGTATTAATAAACACTTATATAGGACGTGACGTCGTACACACACATACACACTCCTACAAACAGGGCACACACTAGCCTAATAAGCTAACAGTTAGGGTCGCGATAAACAGAAACTGAGATTAAAACTGATATGGGAGTGGCAGATGGTGGTACTTGGCGGGCGTCAAAAGGACTCGAAACATCTAGAATGTCGAGGGAAACTGATGAGCGGCTAATCCCTTCATGTAATGACAAACCTTACAGTTCTCAACGGTCTAACCAGCAGTTGAAATAGCATTGCATACCTGGGGGCTGAATTTGAAATCTTTAAGTTCTATTTGGACGGGGAACAGAACCGCAAAATTTCAGCTTTCAAGTTTTTCTGGTTCCCAAGTTAGCAAATTTCCCTCCAAAACTTTCACTCGCTCGTGCGCGGGGCCCAGACGTGTGTAAGGGTTGGTCAAAGCAACTGGAAAAATTATCAGCTGTATAGTCGAAGAACAAAGCTATACATCTAATCAAAGTATTCCTACCGGCATTCGCTGACGAAAGCTACTAATGTGAAAGAAAAAACTCCAATAACACTGGGAAAATTATAACCTCGTGTTGTGCCAAGAACAATAAAGCCTGTTTCGTTATCTGTAGAAAGTTCCATA